TTGTTCCTTTTTCAAAATACTTCTAATGGTGCTGTAATTCTTGGGTTCCATAGTAGACCTTATGTAAATGAGTTTCACATTAACTATTTTTGTCTAGACAAATATCATGATCACATTACATGATAATATAATTGTGATGTTAAAAAATGATATTGATCCCTGAAATCCTTGGTAATACCAATGTTCACTTTGTCTGGTTTTGTTGCAAGCATGCCCCATTTTAGGATTTGAAGATTTGTCAGGTGACATAGCATTTCCATATTATTTTTTAAAAATTATTATTTGACAGCCAATGTTATTACACTTACCAGAAATGACATATGCAAAAAGGGAGTTTGATGATTAATTTCAATAAAAAGTTTTTGATTTCTAGCTTCAGCTAATCAATCACAAACAAATTCACATTTCTTTATGCAAATAATTTATTATATTGGCATTATTACTATAAATACCATACCCAAGACATTGGTCATGGTCAACCAAACATAACAAAAATGATGATTATGATAATTATGTGGGCAAAAAAAAAAATTTTTAATAATAATAATATTATTATTTTGTAATTGGTAAATCTAAAAAGCCAATCGAGAAATTGTTTATGAATTTTTTACTTGATGGCAGACAACTGGTACTTGAATTTAACATCAACAATAATTCTAAACAAAAGTCATCATGATAAAATAAATGTTCAACCGTTTTATCTTTTTTCCACTGAGATACTATACTATTTATTTAATTTATTTATTAATTATATGTTTACAATAAAGGAAAAAAAAGTATAATAAATTAGTTTATATGATAGTTAGCAACAAAAAGATTAAGAGAATAAATTTGAGAAACAGCAAACCTTGAAGATGAAGAAGATGACTTTGAAAATGTTGAAGAATTATCATTGATATCTTTAATTTGATTTTGGTCCATTTTTTCAATGCTGCTACTGCAATCTATATACAATATCTTTATAACTAGAAACAATGTTATTGATAATTAGTCAGTCAATATTAATTAATAAAAATGATGATATTTAAAATCCCTTCTCCCCATCACACTTTGCTTGTTTTTCCCAATTTCTATTACTATAAAATTTTTGCTTACCATTTCTTATTTTTTCTAAACCATTATTATCTTGATTGAAAAGATTATTACATTCATTTGATAATTTGGTTGGAAATTTTTTCCATATTTTGAAATTTGTTAATGTGTTAGTTATAATTTTTGTATCCCAATCAAACACCCAAACCTAATAAATTTAAAAATTATTTAATAATTAATAATAATAATAATAATAATAATAATAATAATAATAATAATTTATTTGATTACCAAAAGATATAATTGACTAGATTCGATTCCTTTAATGATAAATCTATAGGTAGCATGTGCTTTTACTGATTCTAATAGATCAAATGCTACAAAACTGGCGAATGGATATTGTTTTCTTGTCAGTCTAATTAGCATAATGGTATAAAATATTAATTATGATTGCAACTTCAATATTTATGTAGAAGATGGTGGAAGAAGAATATGACAAAAACTAAACTCTTTGCCTGTATTTATAAATTCAATAGTTGTCATATATTTGCTGAATCTTACAGCCATCAATGTTGGAATTGACAATGTTTCTTTTTATTATTATTTATTTTAAAAAAAAATGTTTATATAATTAATTTACGAAGAATTAAAAAAATTAATGTTTTAATTTTAATCACCTGAAATTTCTTCATCTTTCAAATTATTTGGATTATAATATAATCCCTCCCCAATAGGACTTAAACATCTAGAACAACAAATAGGTCTCCATCTTTTGGAAAGTCCTTTTGACCACTAAATCAAAGGCAAACATTACGATTAACTAATGAATGAATGAATGAATGAATGAATGTACACTATTCAAATATTACACGCTACAATATTAGTATCATATACTGACTTAGAGTATGCATGTAAATATAATATATATAATATATATTTCTATTTGATTAATTATTCTAGAATTGTCAATTATAGACAAACAATTTTACTATGGTAATCTTCTTTAAACTCAAATAATAATAATAATAATAAATAAAACGTTACATCAATTTCCTTTGTACAGTCAACTAGTTTAATTAAATCTTTCTTAATATCTGTTGGATGTAATAAAAAATACGTGTTACCAACTAAACAGAATCTTTCTTTGGCAATTATTTCTCCCAATTGAGCTTGTTTATAATCTTCTTGATGACACATCCAACAGTCTACCAATTCCAACCAATGTTCTGATGGCATATCCATAATTTTTATAAATCCACCACCATCAACACTTTTCTCGTCATTCTCTTTCTCATTATCCAAATTATTAAATTGTGCATTACAACAACCACATAATATATTTTTCAAATTTTTTAACTCGCTTGCTGATAATGGTGGCATAACATCAATTGTTTTTGCCTGTTTTGCTGGTTTTTTACGAGCATAACTTCTAAGTTTGAGTTTAAGATCTAAACTATCATTTGAAGGCGTAATTGAAGGTTGTTCAGATGTTTCTATTGTTTGAGAAAATTGTATTGTAGCAGTTCTTGATGTTGTTGATGGTGATGCAGTTTTTGTTCTATTAAATGATGATGATTCCCCTTCTGATATTATAAGTTTCAAAGGATGTATTTGAAGAGTAAATGCTGATGATGCATTTGGTAAACCAAATAATGTTGTAATTGATTTAACGTTTGATAAAATTTCTGAAAAAATCGGTAATTCTTCATTTTTACCCATTTTTAATTTTTCTCAAAAAAAAAAAATGATAAAAAAAATCTCTGATATTAATATGTAAATGTAAATAAAATGATTATCTATTTGAAATGTCACACTAATTTTTTATATTGTGCAACGTAGCTTTACAATACACGGCAAACATTCTGGCAATAAAAAGTAAGTGATAAACTGGATTTGAATTGGATCTGAACTTGATCTCCAATTTAGAGAGGTAACAACTATATACTGGTAAAGTTTCAGGAGCAATGAGTTCTGTATGACATTTCGTGTAACAACAAACTTCCACTATGCTCTCACCAATTGGGTGGATTTATATCATTACAACATTTTACCAGCTTCTGTGTTCTGATTCACAAACATATCCTGGCAGTTGGTTTTTTTGTAGAAATAATACAAAGTAAAAATTTTCTACTGTTTAGTTAGTTAAAATTGCCATGCCTAAACGAATAGGGTAAAATTCTGAACCATTTTCAATAAAAGTTTCATGCCACCAGTGGTGACAAGCAAAAGGTCCATAATGTAAATTAAAGTCAATTATTCCTCAAAATGCAAATATTGGTGAAACTTCTTTACATTTGGATATTTTAAATAGAATTTTATATATGTACATTTAATATATGAATGCAACTAGCTATAAAGTTGATTTAATATAAAAGCACATTTGATATAAAAAAATAAACTTGAGAATATAATAAAAGATTTATTAACTCCATTTTTTATTATTCCAGCAGAACCATAATATAAAAATGGTATATGGAAACGGTCCAACAATACACCTAACACTAATATTTCAGTATTTACTCATTGTAGTATATAACCACTTCATTATCATGACCGTGAACTCCTAGAAGAGAATAAACAAGGTTAATATTTATATTTAATATTCATCCTGTACCAAATGTTAATTTAATAGTAAAATGGTCATTATAATGATGCATGCCTTTGCTAGTGGTATGGTAGAGACCTCCAAGACTCATTTTAACATCAACAAATCTCACATGATTTAAATCACATACAGTTTTCAATTTACTTATGAACTCTTGATTGTTGCTGAGTTGTTTTAAAATTTCATCAGTTGGTTCTTCCAAATTTACATTTTTAGCATTTCCTCTTATCTATATAAACGTCCTTAATATAATAATCAGAACAATATGACTGATGCTGTGATAACAATAATTTGGATCGAATATATTCTAAAGTTCCTATAATGTTATAACGACCTTCAATAATAAGGAGCTGCTTTGTAATTTCCTTGCAATCTCTTCCCAAGGTTATTGATGTATTTGATTATTTTTTAATTCCATCATTGTTTTTACCCTATTTTAGTTGGGATAGTAAAGTCATTTCAATGTAAAATATATAGAATTTTGATGAATTATAATTTTTTTTAAATAATAATAATAGAAAGGAAATGGCAGAAAAAAGTTAAATAGCTACTATTTCACCTTTTGCTTGATCTTTGACTTTTACCATTTCATCTTTGATTTTTACCATTTCATCCTTTGCTTGATCTTTTACTTTTAATCATTTGATGATTAACTTCTATTATTTGATATTTGGCCTCATTAATTGATTCACTAAATCTTGGTATGTAGAATGACCTTTACATAGCACATAAGAAGGTTTTGGTACATATTTTTGTAAGTTTAATTTTGAAGATTTAAAAGTGATAAAATAGAAAACAAGGAATGTTGAAATTCTTTTATTGTTGAATCACAATAAATCAATCACTAGAGTTTGGTGATGAAGTTGTTCTTTAAATAATTTTAATTTTTCAATCAGAGACGCAATCAAATAGACTATTTAACCATCAAAAAAAAACCAGAAAATTGTTTGTTACACGTCGTCCAAGAAAAGGAAACAATAATAATGTAACTGTTACTCTCAAAAAAAAAAAAAAATCTTCGTTCAAACACCAAATCAAATTTTACATTTTTATATTTTTTTATAATGTCATATATTGAATTATTATCACCAGAAAGAGAGGATTTTGTATTTAAAATTTATAAAGAAATGAGTGATAATGCTAGAATTAATTTTGATAAAGAAGGTAGAAAAGATTATTTTTTTTCATTGGTCCAGGAAAACAAGGAGCTTTCTGAAAACGAAAAAGAATTTTGTAAAAGAAGGTTTATTTATTGGTTTGAATTAAATAATGCAACATATAAATTGGGCAAACCAAAAGAATGTAACAAGTGTAAATTGACAAGGTATTCTGATAGATTCTGTGAAGGCTGTATTAGTTTACAATTACAGAGTCTTTTCACTACTTGGACATCTGGAAATAACACAATTGATGATTTTGTTCAACAATGTCAAATGAAATTATCTCTGCCAAAATATATTTTAGAATGGATACCTTTTGAGCAATTTGAAAAAGTGACAAAATTAACTGAAGGTGGATTTAGTTCAATTTATACTGCTAGATGGACAAGAGGAATGATTAATGATTATGATGAAAATAAAAAGAAATTTAGTTATCTTGGAAGGCAAAAGATAGTATTGAAAAGTTTAAATAATTCAAGTAATCCAAGAAATGCCTTTTTTGATGAGGTTGGTAGTTTTTATTTAAATCAAAAATAAACAATACTGTATTATATAATGCTGATTTATTTTATATTTATTTCAGGTAGTGAATTATTGTAAAATTAAATCAGGAATGATTGTTAAATGCTATGGTATAACTAAATTCCCAGATATAGTGTTCCTATTCGAATATCAGCAATCGAAACGATATTCGAATATTCACATTAATTAGCATATTCGAAATTGGTGTCAAATAATTTTTATATATTCGAATATCCATAACACTTTCGGATATCGTAACACTTTCGAATATCGTAATACTTTCGAATATCGTAACACTTTCGAATATCCGCAACACTTTCGCACTTTCGCACTTTCGAATATCGTAACACTTTCGAATATCGTAACACTTTCGAATATCGTAACACTTTCGAATATCGTAACACTTTCGAATATCGTAACACTT